CGATTTTCGTCCGTTCTGCGCATAGACAGAGAGCGTAGCAGAGGGTAAGACGGAGAAAAACGTAGGCGGTTTGGACGTTCTACCCCTGCCTTAGGCACGTCCCATGCGCGAAACGAGGTTATTCTTATTCTGAACGAAGAGCGGCTAAATAAAGAAAGTTTATTTAAAGGTTAAGAAAGACATTAGCTTATTAACAATCCACTGTCCCAATCCAACATATAAACGACAAAAAAATTGCTACCTTCGCAATATTCCGTTTCGTTCAATTTTTTCCTCGGCCGTTCCCAATTCCCCTACCATCGTCTAGTGAATTTTTCCAATTTCTCCGAAGAATCCGGGGTTCCCCTGTCGACGATCCCGAGGGAATGTCGAGAAAATGGCGTCGAACGTGTACTTGACACTCTCGACGAGTGTGCTTTTCACGCACCAGCAACAGCGACGTCGCTGAAGCGTGAAAAATAACGTCACGCGCGAATCGTTTGACGAGGACTGTCCGTAGGTAGCAAGAACAGCTGTTTCCACGTTCCTACAGTGGAGAACGCCGATCCTTGCCGCGACTTTACGTAAGTCTTTAAGGCTTGCCTAATTTCACGTTGGGATCGACCGGTTAATCCTGAGACACGCTTTGGTTACGTCGTAAGAGCCGCGAGAGTTCCTGCTGCAACCACTTTTAACGCGAAACACGTTCGATTCTAGGAGCTAGAGGCTCTGGCCTGTAAAAATTCATCCTGCTCGATTCTCGCGAAATTAGAGTGGACCCAAACGACGGTTCGCGATTACATTAGCATAAAGTGGAATTCCGTGTCGTGGACCGTCACGAGCTGCAACGAATCGGCCGTCATTTTCTAACCAAATGGAACGTAACAGTGGAATGTTCTCAAAGAGACTAGGATTAATCCTGATGTCTTCTAGAAGAATGAAGACTTTTTAACAAAAATTTAACTTAACTCTGGATCTTCCGTTCCATATTTCCGCCTTTTTTTTCTACGACTTAAACTGTGCAACTATCGCGATATTTGTTGAAACAAACATTTTTCCTTCGCAACGTGGTGCATCTTAATGTATTTTTCACGGGAGACGTGAAATCGCGTCTGTTGTTTCGTTTCGAATGAGGTGTTACAAATTATTTTTTTAAAATTACACACGTCAAACGTGTCAATTTATCATTTTTCAGTTTCGATCTATTTCGTAGTATCTACACCGTCGGCAATGTGTTAACACGTTGACTGCCACGCCAGATTGATGTTTTCCTCAGGGGGCCAGAAGAAAATTTTCGTTATTCTAAGCATAGTATTGTGCTTTATTATTATTTTTTAAATTCAAAATAACGTCTGGTTAGGTATGATGTTCGAAATTTGTAGTTGACGGTGTTCTAAACATTTGAGGGCGATGACCATTGTGTCCCCATCGAGGAAGTAATCTTCGGTCACAGGTGACCAACGTGGCAGTCGAACGTGTTAAATATCACACCTTTTTCTCGATAACGACAATTTCTGTAGTCTTATAAATATTACAAGACATATACGTGGAAAATAAAACTATCGACACGTTGGTTGCCACGTTGGTCACCTGTGATTGTTTCCTCGATGAGGCCACGATGGTCATCGGTGACCTCAAATGCTTAGAATAATTCAAATAACATGAATATCGTCGTTAGACGTTATTTTGAATTTAAAAAATAATAATAAAGCATAATAATAAAGCATAATACTATGCTTAGAATAACGAAAATTTTCTTGTGGCCCCCTGAGCAAAGCATGATTAATCTCGACAATATGGGTGGCATACGATCCAAGCAGCGTAAACAGAAATTCACCGAAAATCGGGCCGCTACGAAACGTGCTAAGGCCTCTATGTACAAACTAAACGAAAAGTGCACGACAGAGTGGCAGAGAGAGAGAGAGAGAGAGAGAGAGAGAGAGAGACAGAGAGAGAGAGAGAGAGGGAGAGGCAGAGGGAGAGAGAGACAGACAGAGAGGAAGAGGCAGACAGAGAGAGAGAGAGAGAGGCAGAGAGAGAGAGGCAGACACAGAGAGAGGCAGAGAGAGAGAGAGAGAGGCAGACAGAGAGAGAGAGGCAGAGAGAGAGAGATAGACAGAGAGAGGGAGACAGAGAGAGGGGCAGAGAGAGAGGCAGACACAGATAGAGGCAGACAGAGAGAGAGGCAGACAGAGAGAGAGAGAGAGACAGAGAGAGAGGCAGACAGAGAGAGGGAGAGGCAGAGAGAGAGAGGCAGACACAGAGAGAGGCAGACACAGAGAGAGGCAGACAGGAGAGAGAGGCAGACAGAGAGAGAGGCAGACAGAGAGAAAGACAGACAGAGAGAGAGAGAGAGAGAGAGAGAGAGCCAGAGAGATACAAAGAGCGAGAGAGAGTAGTAGCTGTTTTCGCGAGCAAGCGAGCGAGTCTCGAGGAGAGACCAGCCGTCTCGAAAACGCAGTTTAAGTTAATCGCTAATCAGCCAGCCGATTGAGATATTAACTTACGAGCTAATCTAGCCAGGAACGCTCGTAATCTACCGGAGGCTAATGAAAATAAAGAGGTCGTTGGACCCTCTCGGAAACGCACGGTCCCGAGAGAGAGTAACGGCAACGAAGTCACGTTCCTCCGACGACAATGAGTAAAGGGCACTCGGCTGGATTACCCTTTAATAACTCGTCGCAACCGCGCGTCCATTATTCTCGTTCTCGCTGAACGGAAACTACGGCAATCTCCCGTGTACTGCAAACTTTCACCTTGATACCAGCCAACTCTTGCACAAACTTTTCGCATGTTCTCGAAACTCGCCTAAGAGAGAGAGAGAGAGAGAGAGAGAGAGAGAGAGGAGGTTTGCAGCACGCGATCGATCATCATAGTATAATAGAGCGTCTAATTTGCAAGAGCTTCGTATTACAAATATAATTATCTCTGGTACACGCACATGTCGTGTACAAGCGATTTCATTGATCGTTTATAGAGAGATAGGGGGCGTGCATATGTTGCAACGAAAATTGGAATGAAAAATCATGGAATCGATAAGATAGGCGAATGTAGGAGAGGGGCCGGTACTCTACGTACGCTTTACATAAATCCGTTTTTCATAGCACGGCTCGTTTCACCGCACGACGCCTGTAATCCACGTCTGAGACCTTGAAAATACCATCCTCCGGGGAAACGTCGTTTACCAATGCCGCGTCTAGACCGTAGCCGTGGGCACGCGATTTTATACTTTAATCTTTCCGTGTAATACACTCCTCGAAATACATCGATCTATCGGATACGTTTCGGTCGTAGGAAGATACGACGAAAACTGTTCACACTTCCCGTTGACGAATGTCGGAGATGGAAGCGATTTAACGAGGGAATGTAGATATCTATTTACTAGTTCTGAAAGAAATATTCGCCGCGTATTTTTTCACGAAGGCAGTCGTTTACAGTGGAGGGGTGAAAATCGTCGTCGAAGTTGGAGGTAGCACATGTGTTTAGTCTAATATTTCGAAAATTATCGAAGATAGAGGAATATCGTAAATTGACAAAATTTATATTTAAAAGAAATGAAAAATAAATAGTTTTCTATTTCAAATTTTGTCGTTGAAAAATAGAAGATTCGGTCGTTCACCGGTGAAGGGGTGAAGTCTAATATTTCAAAAATTATTACAGACAGAAATATCAAATTTTATATTTAGAGAAAAAGAAAAAGTAAATAGTTTTGCATCTCTCAAATTTTGTCCATCTCTCTAATTCCCTCAACGGTTGAGATAGCAAGTACAGTCTAACGTCGCGAAAGTTGCTACACTGGAATATTGTACCTAAACCGACGAATTTCGTATTTTCCCAAAAATATATAAAAAAGAAAATACAAGATTCGTCAATTTACACAATTCCTCTTTTGTATCTCTCAAATTTTGTCGTTGAAAAACACAAGATTTGTCAAATTACATCGTTTCGCAAATACATTTAATCCAATTGTTGGATTATTAGGAGAAATGAGTGTATGTCTGTGTAATAGTAACGGCAAAAATGATCAACATACTGAGACAGCTTAATATAAACATATACGCTACCGGCCAAATGTTTGGAATCACTGTGCATTGCAAGTTGCACAAAAATTCGCCAAAAAGTTTAGCATTTATAATAATTTTCCAACGAATTTTTTATCATTC